TGACTCCTCACCCCACTACCTGCATCTTTGCCAGCTGGGGGGGAGGTAGCAACAACTACTCTGTTCTTCCGCCCTTCTCCTCATACTGTGCAGGATGTGTACTGTGGACTATGGACCCAGTGGACTTCACTGCTGGCATGTACAGACCTGGTGTGCCTCTCACAGGCCTCTGTCAGCATGTCTGGGCCCAGAATAGCTCTCTCAGGCCACTGCGGTGCATTCAGGCTTGGTGGAGATCTCGCATGCCACCACAAACATGGCTCTCACAGGCCACTGCACCCGGCTCGGCTTTTGCAGGCTGCTGCATCCAGTCCCAGCATGGCTCTCACAGGCTGTTGAGGCCAGGTCTGGCACATATCTGATTGGTTGCTGCAGAGCAGCTCTCAAAGGCCGCTGCCACTGAGGGCAGGCCTGGAACAGCTCTGGGAGGTTGCTGCCACTGCTGAGGGTGGGCCCAGAGTGGCTTTCTCAGGCCACCACTGTCGTGAAACAGCCCTCAGACGTCACCACTGTGGAAAGGAGGTAAGTTTATTGCCTGTGCATGTGCAGACAGTGGTATTGTTTGGGTGGAATTTAACCCCCCATTTAATTTTTTTACAGGTATCAATTTTTTCTGCTAACCTGGGGGGTTTTCCTAAGTTTGGGGGGGAATCTATTTCTCTCAGTGTGGTGGATTTAAGTATCTGCAGATTTGCCCATGTTTGAGAAATAGATATATAGATTTAAACCAAATACCTGGTTGAAATGAAGGTTCTCCCAGAAAGAACCTTGGGTGGGGGGAGAGAAGGAAACCAGCTGTGTGAAGGGGAGGGGCAACTGGAAACAGGAGGGGGAAGTGAATCATATGTTATCTGAACTTTAAGAGGATCCCAGTATGTCCATGTTGGTGTGCAAGATGGTTTGTAGAGCCATCTACAAAATTGGGGCGGTTGCACAGCTTCTCTTAGGCATGTGATTTTACTTGATCTTCAGTGGTGAAGCCTGGCCATTGGTCAACTTGTGTGCAAAAACAGTTGTTGTAATCCCAATGGACCAAGGGTGGATGCATATTGGTGGATTTAGGGCTGCACTTTGACTGGTGCAAGAGAGGAATTGAGACCCTGTTGGTGTGAACTTTGGAGTACATTATGTAATAGAAGAGTGAAAATGAAAAGGTATCTGAATACCTTTGATGGTACAAGAAGAGTGATTGATTTGACGAGGTATCATTCTTGATACAGTGATGGGTAGGTGGTTGCTTCTGGCAGATAATTGCTCTGTCTAGAATGGCATTTGCAAGTGAGATGCAAAGGGCTTTGATTATTTTATCCTGAAAACCTGGGTCATTGCATATGAGTCAAAAAGTGTGAGGAGCTCAGCGGGCCATCAAATAAGACTTTCTGCATCTCTGTTGTTTATTCTGGTCAAAACTTCCCAAGCTGAGATGATGCCAGAGTCTTTTTTGAAATAAAGATATTTTCTGATGTGTTTTCCACCCATTGTTGGTCCCTGTGTTGGGGTATGGGTTATAGGAACAGTTATAACCTTCTAAGTCCACTGAAGTCAATGTCTTCTAAAGGTCTTTATAAGGGTGTAACTCTGCTTAGGATTGCATTGCTGTAAGTCTCTTGTTTCCCCTATCTAAACATTACATTTGAGAAAATGCCAAGAAATGAGTAGTGACACTGTAAGGGCCTTTCCAAACAAATAATGTTTATCACAAATGATGTTCAACAGTTGCTAAGTTATTGTAGAGGATCCAGAAGTCTTTCCTTAAGGAGTACAGTAGCTACTCAGCTGCTCTGGGAAATTCAGACATGTTTGCTGAAGCTATCATGGGGAATATACGGAGTCTCCCCCAGTTAACAATGTTATTGCAGTTGTAGTGATGTGAGCTATGTGCGTGAGAGATGTTCACAGGGTAAAGAAGTATAGAACAACATAATTTTCCAACCCGAGAAATATGTAAAATATAAACAGAAAATATCTGGAAAAAATGAAATGAGTGAATTTTACACAGAAGAGAAACTATGCTCTCTATAGCTCAAAGAGCAACATTGCACTTGGATAACTTGCACAAGGTGACACTTGCAGTGTGCCCCTGTTCAGAGTTACTTGGGTCTTAAGCCATGTGTAGGATTGCACTGTTATCCACCTATTAAATAATATATCACCCATACATTCAGTTATAAACTGCAAAGGACTACTGTCTCCATTCGGAGAATTTAACCTTCCGCATCTTTTTGTCAGATTTGCTTATTTTACTTGGCAAGGCTGCCTTCTTGCTCTGCTGAAATCCTATAGCTCTGAGAGAACAAGCTTTTTTTATCCTGTCTCACTGTAATCAAAAGAGTCATCTAGTCATTAGCGATGCTGTGAGAGGCAGTAGAAACCCAGCTGGACTTTGAGAATTCAGGCTTAGTTTACAGATCTTACAGACATTCCAACTTTTAAATGATGCTGGACATCCAATAAGAATGATCAAAATGAGACTATGCTAACTCATGAAGCCAGCGTGGTGTAGTGGTTAAGTGTAGCGGACACTCATCTGGAGAACCAGGTTTGATTCCCCGCTCTTCCACATGACTCCTGCTGAGTGACCACAGACCAGTCAGTTCTCTCAGGACTCTCTCAGCCCCACTGGCCTCACAAGGTGACTGTTGTGCGGAGAGGAAGGAAAGGCAATTGTAAGCTGCTCTGAGGCTCCTTAGGGTAGAGAAAAGTGGGGTATAAAAACCAACTCTTCTTCAGTGTGGTATAATGGTTTGAGTGGAAGACTGGTATCTGGGACACCCTGGTTCAAATCTTCACTCTGCCTTGGAGTTTGCTAAGTGATTTTGGACCAGTCATCCCTTCAGCCTAAACATATTACAGGGAAGTTGTAAGGATAAAATAAATAATGGATAAACCAGGGAAGCCTGGTACCCCTGAGAGGATTTGGGAGACAGCGACAGACACACCACTGCTGTACCAGCCTGTGACGTATATCTCCCAGCAACAAAAGTGCCAACTTTAGCTGAAAGGCATTTTCATGATATGTCCTAAGGCCCTACCAGCAGCTTTGCAGGTTTGGGATATTATGATGTCTTGTGACTGAAATTAAGGATGCAGAATGCCTTTTAGTTAGGCTTGTCCTGGATACCATGAACAAACTGTGGTTTTTGTATGATAGGCATTAACATAATTGATGGTTATGTAAATACTCTCCTTTCCTTCATGTGACACACAGAGGGTGCGTTCAGATGGGGCATTTGCAACGGTATAGGTGCCGGTTGGAATCGGTGTACTTACCGGTGTTCACACGGTGAACATCTGCCTTCCGTCCCTAACCGTTGCAAAGAGCTTTACACCGTTGTATTCTGCCACTAGGTCCCCAAGTGGTGGTATCCTGAGTGCAACGGTTGTAATCGCTTTACCCCCGTCTGATCGCTCTCCAATGTTGTAGAGCCACTTCTGTTCGGAAGCCCGAGGCTTCCGATTTTCGCCCACCACTTTTTCTTAAGGTCGGCGATATGCGCTTGGACGAAGCTCCACCCCAGCGTTTGTTTTTTTAAAAAAAGAAAAGGTCCTTAGTTTAAGGTTTTGGAGGACTCTGAGACCTCAGGGAGGCCAGTTTGGTCTTTAAACATTAAAGGTAAGTCCTTACCTTTAAACTTTAAATGTAAGACAGGGTGTTTTGCGCATGCGTGAAGATCGCCATTCTGTGGATGGCTGCCTATGCGCATGCTCAAACTGAGTTAAAAAAAACGCCGACGCCCGCTGCATGTGACTGGGCATACAGCGATGGGCTCCGCAGACAGGAGGTAAGTGTGATCGCGTTTCAGCCGGCATAAACTGCACTGGCTCCAACCGGTACAGTTTATGCCGGCTGAAACACCCCGTCTGAACGCACCCAGAGACTGAAAACCGAAGTGTTCACCTGGCTCCAGTTAGGTGCAATATCTGGATTTGGATACTTGGACAAATTTGAGCTTAATACTTGTATTCAACCGTGCGGGATGGTGGTGTTGCATGTCTGTGTACAAATTTTAATTTGTCGGGTATCTGCATTCAGATGTCTCAACAATCAGTTGGACTTTGTGGGAAACTTTTGTATTTAGCCTTTGAAGTAAGAAGTAAGAGAGGAGTAGAGATGTGAGCACAGAAATTTACCATGTTATCTGTCATGAACAACCTGTGGTTTCTTTTGTATAGATACAGCATTGTTACATACATAAGCTTCACAAACCTCTGCCACTGCATGCTGAACTGACATTTTTATTGGGCAAGCTGTAAGAACCCAAACCCTACATATACTATCATATTTCGTTCCCAGAACTCCCATGCACTAAGCAATGGCTTCTTGGAGGGTTTGGGAAACTGGAAGTGATAGGGGAGAAATAGTAAAGATCCACAGCTACAAGTGCCCTTATACTTGCAATTCATAGGATTCAACTCTTTATTGTTTTTTATACTTCGTCTCAGTTGTGATTATGTGATTATGTTACTTATTTACCTGCTCTGGATCTTAAGAGAGCTCTTTGGAGTTCTTTGGACTCTGCTTGAGCTTCTGTGACTGTTTCCATATCATTTTTGAATGCCAAATAGCACCAGTTTCATTACCAGTAGGGTTACAAGCTTCTGTGGCTCAAGTGGTTAAGACGCTGAACTTCAGGCAGGAGAAAATTGGCCTGTACCATGTATGTATGTATGTATGTATGTATGTATGTATGTATGTATGTATATTACACTAAGTATTGTCCTTTGATTTGCTTCTCTTCACTCTTAACTAACTAGAAATTCCTTAACTGAAATTGCTTGCTGAAATAATTCTATTGCCTCATTGTGGACCTACTATTTCTAACATATGCACTAATCTGGAATTCATGTTCTTGGATGGACCTTTAGGATCAGGAAATTGGCTTTATACAGAGGGCAGTTTGATGCCATTTGATGCCTTGTAATTGGAAATTTGTGAGGTGTCATTTTTTGGCATATCATGCATTCAGGACTTTGGTAACTCTACCTTTTTTCATTTTCAGGGTCAACCTGGTCCTCAAGTAAGTGTTATCTTGGTCTATTTGCATTGCATTGTTTGTTGTTAAATCAAAATGGAACACATGGAATGGAACTGATTTTGAAATTTTGTTTGGTTTGGCAAGACTCAAAGTGTTGTCTACTGGTTTAATAATTACCCAACACAGTGGGCTGCATATTTCCCAAGAGGGACACATGGAGCCTTGTATGTTTGAGTTCTATCAGCTGTTCAGCCAGATGGTGCTTTTAACAATGTTCTACTAATAAAGCAGGTCTCTTAACTATGGCTTGAAACTTTGCCACACAACTTTGAAGTGAGATAAAATATCTTAACAAATGTGTTGCAGGAGCTGGTTTGTATTAACTGCTTATTTATCACATACTAATAATGCTGGTGTAATCCAGGAAGACTTCAGTTATTTAGGATAACATTGGACCACATTGATTAATTATGTACAAGCCTGGGACTGATGTCTGCTGAATTTTAAGAATAGCTCTACTTGTGGCATAGTTAACTAAATGGGAATCCATCTTTTTAAAAAAGAGTACAAATCTGGGTTAGATATGCAAAAGGAAAAGCATTGGGAGGAAATTGTATAGAAGTTTAGCAGAGGGACAGAAGGAAAGCAGTGGGGAAAATGATCAAAACCGCATCAGGCTTGAGTTAAAATAAAATTAAAGGTCTGCTTGTATGAGGTTTGACTCATGTTAACAACCTTCTTGAAACATGGCTTTGGCTAGCACAGTTTCCCTCACCAGCCTATAAATTTTGGGAAATGTAGCCACATTCAGGCTCTTAGTACATTCCATTGGGCTCAGTAACATTGCATGGCTCACACAGAAGGTAGCTGTTAGTCCTGAGATTTCAGGTTTTTAATGATTTATTACTTTTTAAAAAATTATCAATCCATGTTTGGCACAAATTTACCTTTTTCATGTTCTTCTTAGACTTGTACATCCATTTAATATTGTTATACAATTCTTTTATTCCATGTCTTACAATAATATAAAATTTTTAGGATTATAACTATTTCATAGAATTCCATTTTGACAACACATGTGGGCTTAGTTGACAGGGCTGTCAACTGGATTGGGAAATTCCTGGCCATTTGGGGTTGATACCTGGAGAGGGCAGAGTTTGGGGAGGGGAGGAAACTCAGCAGCAACATGATGCCATAAAAGTCCATCTTCTGAAGATGCCGTTTCCTCCAAAGAAACTAATCTCTGCAGTCTGGAAATCATTTTCAGTCTCAGGAGAACTCCTGGCTCTACCTGGAGGATGGAAACCTTAACTGAAGGTAGAAAAATTTCAGATATGGGAAGGCCCAGGTAAGCTTCTTTAAAAGAGATCCAGGAGATATTGGGAGAGAAATAGTCATAGGAATATTAAGAGAGGACATTGGTGGAGAAATCACATACTGATTAATTGCCTTGTTACTCTCCTGACAGTGGAGAACATCTTAAAGTCTCTACAGGGCTTCTTCAAATTATGACTGGAGTCCCTAGTTAACAAGGGTCTTCTCCATAAACTAGAACTGGACTTGATGCCAGGGCAAAACTGCTGAAGGCTGAAGAGTGTTCTTCTCAGTTCAAAGCACAGACCTCCTTCAGGTAGCCTCTAATCAGTTTCTAGTTCTGACCTGGATAGCCCAGTCTTGTCAGATATTTGAGGCTAAATAGGGTCAAGTCCTGGTTAATACTTGGATGGGAGACCACCAAGGAAGTCTGTGGTAGCTGTTCAGAGGTATTATATGAAATCTCCCGTAGGGAACCTCAGAGGGTAACACATTGAAATGGGCTAGTGAATAGACTCTGCGATAGTGCAGGGCTGTTAAACAGGTGAAATATTCTGCCATATGCCCATAGGGTTTTATGCGAATTTTATTGTTGTAAGCCGCTCTGAGCCAGCCTTGGCCGGGAGGGCGGGATAAAAATTTAATAATAAATAAATAAATAGGGTAAAATTCCCAAGCCCAAGGGTAAACATTGACCTTTAGCAAGGCTTCTAAGATCGTGCATCTCAATGTCAAGGAGTCTTTGTCTAATCTGTGCATAGGCTGAATTTTTGGTAAGGGAGGATAAATCACCAATACTAATCCCTATTGAATTAATTTTCTTTTCTATGTGTTTTAACCACATTGATGAATGAGACTCCATCAACAAGTGAGAAATAAGGCTACTGTTATTATTCTTAAAATGTAGATGTAGCCAAATTTTGATAATATTGATCCATGCTTTAGTTTCAAGGAGTCTTTGATTAGTTTCCAGGAAGATGGCTGCATAAGGCACACACATGGGCAGGTCCAGTATTTTCCGAAGGAAGTCAGATTGTATTATTTCCACTTCCTTATTGAAGGCCTTGATCCAAATAGGTACTGCGTAAAGCAATCCTGCACTAATCTTATGGTTGAATACTCTAATAGCTGCGGGAACATATTGATTACCCTTGGTAAAATAAAAATGGAGAAGCGCAAGTACGTTGCAGTTCACAGATTTTATCACTTCCTTTCCATGAGGAACTCAACTGGCTCTATAATGAAAATGTATTCCTAAATATCTAAAACTTTTAATCTGTTTGATCCGGTTGCAGAGGTGAGCAATGGCAAACCTCCTCTGAATGTCTTTTGCATGAAAACCCCATGGAGTCACCATAAGTTGACTGTGATTTAACAGCAAAAAAAGAAAGAAGTTTATGTTTCTGGCAATTCACCTTCTTTATAAGCAGATTGTGCTCCCATTTCTTACAAGGAAGCATAGAGCTACCCAGCCTTTTAAGGTGTGAGGGGAGAGAGAGCAGACTAGGCATCTCCTGCATTTCAGTGTATCTCTCTGCCTCCCTCTTTTGTGACTGTAAGGAATATTAAGCTGTAGGACTAACAGGATATCCCATGGCTGATTTTTGTACAGCATATAGTAGTTTCACTGTACAATCCTAAACAGAGTTCTACCCTTCTAAGCCCACTGACTTCAATTAAAGGGTGTAATTCTGTTTAGGATTGTGCTATTAGGTGCTTTATAGATGATCCTGAAAAAAGAGAAGTGCAAGTGTTGCACACTTTGCCTGATAATTTTAAAAGCTTGCTAGCAAAAAATAGATCCTAAAATGATCTCTAAGGAACTCTGCAAGTAATCTCCTTTTTCAATGTTTACCTTTTTAGCAAAATCCTTCAAATGATTTCTATTATTCCTAGTTTTTATTTTGTTTCTTGTTTACCTTCTGCTATGTTGGTTCAATAAAAAGATATTTTGCATTTGGAACTATAATCTTCTCCATTAAATCTCCTGTTTCTATAAAATTGCTGGCAATGTAGAAGCTGTGGAAATACTGCCAATGTCTTTAAATGATGCAGTACCTTATTTGGATTTTCATTGTTTCTTGAAAGGGATCCCACCCCCATTCAGTTATGACTTTGAAAAATTATGGGTGCATGGTTTTAAAAAATGAATTTGCATTACTTAAAAGATTTTGTCCTTAAAATGATATCAAAGGGCTTTAAGAATGCATTACCCATGCAGGGCTAATTAGAGTATTGTTATTTATTTTAAAATATGCTTATCACTTTCCTGTAATGGTTACCAGATAAGATGAAAATAAGACAAAACAATACAAGAAAAGATACAATAGAACAAGCAGCCTCAAATAATACATGCAGTAGTAATAAGTTTGTATATCAGTACTGGTAACCACAACTGAAGATGTGGGATTTAAATTAAATTTGAAGACTCAACAAACTAAAATCCAAAGACAACAAAATAAAAGTAAAAGCATTATCTCCAACAAAAAAGTCTCAATAGGATAGAATTGCTCCCAAATATCCATGTTCTTCCAGAATACAGCACTATGGTGGCAAGGAAAAAATATGCCACCCATAGCAAACCCCTCCACAAGTGAAAAGGTTCTACAGGACTAACCTTTTTACCAATGCAAAAGAGAAAACTAGGAATAACTGAAGACAAGGTGGAGAAGCAGAATAACTTAGCTGGAATCCTATGCTTCCTTAGGGTTCAGTCTTACAACTATGGTGTAATGTTATGTTTCTTATTCTTCTTTCCCAACCACAACTGCAAGATGGGACACCAGCTAACTCATGAGCTAAACATAGCACACCACCACAAGTATATAATCTTTAGACTAGGAATACAGCAAGGTATTTCACAATCATAGGACCATGTCTGCCCCAAGATCTAGATAACTAGGAAATGGAAAATTGGCAATGGGACACTTTGTCTAAAGAGGGCACTAGTCTGCACAACCAAGAAATAATTAAAAAAAAATAAAGGGAACAGCTGAAGATCACTTGTCTCCTCAGAATCCTTACAGGTACCTTTTCATCGGGCTCTTGGCAATACATACCAAGTACTCCAAGCCAACCCCTACAACGGGTGCTGCGTGAACGAAGCACACAGGTAAGCAAGAGAGCCTATAGTCCAGTGTATGACTCCTATACTTCTTCCTTTCCTTTGGGGAGGGCTATGGCTCAGTGATAGAGTGCCTCCTTTGCATGCAGAAAGTCCCAGGTTCAATCCTCAGCCTCTAACAGATGATGCAAAAGCCCTCCCTGAGCCCCTGGAGAGCTGCTGCTGCTGCTAAAAGTATACAATGTTGATCTTGATAGAGCAAAGGTCTGGCTCAGTATAAGGCAGCTTCCCGTGTCCCACCTAGGCCACAAGGAAGGAGATGGGCATGCAGAGCAGTCATCCGTGGCTACAGAATGCCTCCAAACAGTTAGCACTCTTGTATTTGTCTGTGTGATCGCTAAGCAACCCTCTCTTGTTCAACAGGCTGAGCTGTATCCCCCACATTGCAGTTTACAGTGAGGATGTACCTTCGCTAACAGCGTTTTGAATGACGGTAAGGTCCCGCCATGCACTGGTGAGGGGCAATTGGAAATACAGATGCCTCTGCTGGTAAAAACAAAGCTCTCTAGTGTTGTTAGGCAAATATTCATGGGTCGTTTTCCTTGTAGGGTCAGACCCAGGCCATATAGCGCACAGCCAACAGAAATTGTGAACAGGTTTCTTC